AAGCCTCCACCATGGCTCACCTGAGAGTCTGTCTTCTCAGGAGCCGATAAAAGACCTGTGGTGGAGAGGGAAACAGGATTTTGAGAAAGATGGCTATGCAGACACTTCGGTCAGTGAAGGGACGTCAAGAGGAAGGAGGGACCCTGGAATTTCCCCTGCAGCGTGGTGGAGATTCATGGTGACGCACGGTTTGTCCCTTGGTGCAGCCCATGAGAAGATGCAGCCGTGGAGGACCCCACGTTGCAGCCGAGCAGTCATTGAAGGACTGTGGCCCTGTGTGGGAAGGACTCACACTGGAGCAGTTTTGAGAAGGACTCTCCTGTGAGAAGGGACCCCACGCTGGAGCCAGGACAGACTGTGAGGAGCCCTCCCCTGAGGAGGAAGGAGCGGGGACTGACTGCACCCCCCATTCCCTGCCCCCCTGAGCCGCCGGCGGGGAGAAGGTACAGAACAAAGCCCTTGAGTTTTGGGAAGGAGGGAGGGGTGGGGGAGAAGTGCCTTTTTAAGATGTGGTTTCTCTCTCTTTGTATCTTGCTTCTTGTTGTAAATAGTTAATAACTTCAATTATTTTTTTTCTTCCCAAGTCGTGTCGGTTTCTTGCCCATGACCCTAAGTGGTCAGTGAAACCCTCCCTGTCCCTGCCTCAGCCCACCAGGTGTTTAACAAAGGACTGACCCTGTGGTCTTTCTAAACTACGACAATCTAATAAGTAAAATCTGTCTTGATTAAACTTGAGACTATATAGTTCACTGTTTCTCTTACCTCAAGGATCAAAATTACTACAGCTCCAATGACTGTGATCAGCTCCCCCACCAGCCTCAGCTCATCCTCATATGTCACATATGATTCCTGGAAAAATATATAAAAAAAAAAAGGAGTGAAAGGAAGTAAAAATAAAATTTAAAGGGATAGAAAGGGAATTAAAAAAGAGTATGGGGAAAAAGAAGGCCCACTGTTAGTGTAATAAACATGAATAGGTCTGGCGAGGCCACAGGATCCATCCCAGTCCAAGCAACAGAGAACAGAGCATACCCAATGTTCCTCACTGACAAAGATCAGAAAGAGAGAAGAAGGATAGGTGCAACAGATGGCAGCCGGGAAAGACTTGGACTTTCCAGTTAAGCAGGTTAGATTGAAATTGCCCAGTGCTGCCTATAGGGCCCTGACTCCTATAGACACAGTACCTGCAGCATTTTCTGGACATAGATTGTATTGTCTCTGCTGTTTGTTTTGTTGCCTGTTCGGGGTTTCAGTGGTCGGTAGACGCAGCACATAGTGAAGCAGACCATGTAGAGTACATAGAACAAAGCCAGGAAACAGAAATAGTGACGACCATACATATTCCACTTCAGGCTCACCAACTCCTTCACAGGTGTTAGGTCCAAGATCTGGCGTGCCTGAGAAGGATAGAAAGAAAGAATTAATTTCCATAGGACTTTAGTTTATAAGCATCATTCACACTGTTTCCTGGGAGAGTGTAAACTCTCACTTACTCTATTCAGCATTAGAAAGCTGAATTTATTTTGCAAAAGTGGAATGTTCAAATGTGTTTGGATTTCCTCAGTTTGCCAGTAAGGAGCTTTGAAAAAAAGGTAGAAAGTACATCGTGCAGAGAACAGCTTTTGAGTATCAGTGGGAAGTGCAAGAGAAGTATGTTAGATACTGGAATAAGTTTGTTGTCTGTGGAGGCCTGAAAGCATATAAACACTTGAGACAGACTTATGATTTAGGCCCATGGATGCAAATATATGAGGATGTGTTACATAAAATAAGAGGTATTACAATTAATCTGTTATTATTATTATTATTATATTAAGATAATTTATATATTAGGAGTGGGCTAACTTTACAGTATCAGAAAGTTTATAAATCCTGTGAAATCTAAGGATGCAAATACATACAAAACTACTTCAATTCATTGATTTTCTTTTGCTGTACCTGGAATAAATTTTGAGGAATATTTTATGTTAAGCAAGAGAGTACAGTGCACTTTATAGACAGATATTCTCCTGTATGCAAAATATACATAATTATTAGAACATGGAATTGAAAATAAAATAATTCTTGTGAAATTCTCTTAGATTTTGTTATACAAATTGGAGTTCTGCTTTTACACATATAAATTAACATTGATTTTACAGGAATTTCTATCAACTTCAATTCCATTTGTGGAAACTTTTAATCTCTTAGGAAACATATCAAAAAGTCCTTTAGATCGTTAGCTTTCTTTGAAAAATTGACACTGACATTACCTTCATTTAGCAGACAACTGAGAAGACTCTGGAAAAATTTCCAAAGTTCCTTTGTTTCTGTCTAAATCCAGTCTGTTAATGGACTCTATTTTCAAAAGTTTTCACCATTCAGCTATTGTGATAAAAACTGCAGTATACTCATAGTGAAATATACTGTGAAAAAAAAACCAAAAACAAAACAAAACAAAAAAACCCCAGGTTTTTTCAGCTTATTTCCTTTAGATTATTTATATTATATTCAAAGTTTGTGTCCTTCATTTTAGAATCTCAGTGGTGCCGCTCAAATGTATGTAGAAGTTCACATACATTTCCAGGAACAAACAGAAGCTTCAGTGAGCATCTTGCATGATACGAAAAACAGTACCACTGCATAAGCTGGGGTTGTGTTTCTATCAAAGATCTGCATATATCCCTACATACTGTGTAGATGAGGAATTCTATACAAAAAGAAAGCTTCATCAAAAAAAGGTGAGACTACAGTTTGAAAAGTGACAAAGAGGCTCTATTAAAAGTAAGAGTGGCGGAGGTATGAGCAATGGAGGGAAGAATCCTCTCCTATTACAATTCCATTTCAAAAACTAACAGGAAGAACCCAGAAATTTCTCAAGTTCCACCCTGGCTGATCTGGTTGATTTGCACACATGCATATAAAGGATGAAGAAAATAGAGTGAGATAATATTGGAAAAAAAAATTCAACATCTTTTCCTCTGTTGAACATTGCTAATCTATGCCTCTGAGTGAATCTATTGATTTGCTGCTGGGATGACAACTATAAAACTTGGAAAGATCAATGTCACTCCACTGTTTTCCTAGGGCAAGATGAAACTGTGGCTACATGAACTGTCTGACAAATGTAATTATGTCTTCCTACAAACTTTGCTTCATCTATGTCCTTAGAGTTTCACTACTACAAGTAATGCCATCTCATAACTTTAGGCACCTAAAGGAGGTATCTTTATTAGTGATGTAGTTATCCTAAGGTTTCTCTCCTTGTAGGCAGTAGTGTCCTACTGACTGCCATTCAGCTCACCTAAGATCTGCATTGCTCTCTGGAGATACTTAGCCCCTTGCATTTCTCTCTCAACCACATGTGAAACTGTATTCCTTAATTAAATACCTCACCTGGTGACAAAAATTAGATGGGATGAATCTAGGCCGAATGCACCTCGTTAGCTTAATTTGGCCAATATGAACACACAATATTGTGTGCAAAAAAGCAATCACTCTCAAGCTCACCCAAAACCAGACAGTCTGCTTAGTAAACTAGTCTGTGAAGAAGGAATGAACCACATGGGAAAGATACTACTTTTAGGATGTAGTGCACTATTGGGATGTATTCAGCATCGTAGTGACAAGAACACTGTGCTGATATGAATAAAACGTAAGAGAGAATATTAGGGTCTTGTCATACTGAGTTATTTTGAAAAATTTGGCCCGTGATTCCCTAGTGGTCATAAACCACATAGAGTCCCACTGTGAGGAAGCATGTTCCACAAAAGTGACAAATGTTATTTTCAAAGTAGATGGATGATACTGACTCAGGTTATCATGGCCGCCAAGATCTGCAGTAGTTGAAGAGCTAAATCTCTACTTTGGAGTCAAATGGATCACCTTGAAGTATTTTCAAAACTGTTTGTTTGTTTGTCATTTTCATTCAGTTATAAGCCATATTCTGTTAAAGTAAAGCGAAGATATTTTGTTTGTTGGTGCCTTCAAGCCAAGAAAATCAGTGTAGAGTCTTTCTGTGTTTTTTTGTCATCTCATTATAACTCTTTAGGGTCCATTCCCAATCTGAAAAAAATCAGTATAGCTGAACTGAAGCTATAATTTTAATGGCTTCCTACAGTTGAAGAGCGAGCCTCTAGTTCTTTGTCTGTCTTCCCTATGTGGAAGCGTAATTTCTATTGATGTAAGTAGAATATGTAAATACTCAAAGCCTAGAAACAGGACTATGGCTCGTATGTTTATGAAGGATCAAAGTTTGCTTTGTAGGTCAAGGGGCTTGGTCTGTTCCAGAGGGAGTCAAAAGCAGTTAGATTCATGTACTTTAAGACAGTCAGTGTTACTTAATTTGCAGTTTCTCTACCTATAAAAAAGACAAGCATTTATTTGGCCATTCTCACAGAACATATGCAGGTTTCACATAAGCAATAAGCTACTTTTCCAAGAATCATTTCTGAGGTTGCCAACTGAGTGCCAAAATGTCAACAAAGCCTTTCTGTAAAAGGGAAAAAAGGCATATATATAATTGATTGGAAATTACCCTCAGTTCTGATGGCATCTTGAGGATAAAACTAAAGACTAACAACTGAAATTTATCCGATAAACTTTTAAATGTTTTTATTGTGTGTGGGAAAATAGAACTGAGGATGACAGAAGATTCCTGTTACTGCAGTAATACACATATTTTGTGTCACATGATTTAGCCTAAGAAAATAGGAATATTTTTCCAAATCAGATTAGTGCTTGTCTAAATCTCCATGGCTTATGTTAAAATAATTCATTTTAAGTTTCCGCATTATTGTCTGGGTGATACTTAATTGAATCATCTATCAAGCCTTCAGTTTCTGCTAGAAGACTGGTGCTTAGAGCATAAGTAGGACAAACAGGGTATACTTTACAGCTTTTTTATTAATTTGACCCACACATTTTATTAAATGCTTCTAGACCTACTTCCTAGTGTAATTTTTAGGGGACCACTGCAGTAAGCAAGAAGGACACATAAGTCAAAGTCACACGAGTGGGTTACTTTAAAGGAAAATTTCTTATTACACTCTAGATGTTCTCCTTTTGGAACACTGCTCTGTTTCCTCTAAGTCAGCCAAAGACAGATTGGATAAAGTGCAAGGAACCTTCAGTAAAGGGACATGACTCATGAATGGCCTAAGGAATATCCTAAAGGATCAAAAGCAAGTGGGAGATAATGAACCTAGCTAGATATCCTTAGGTGTTCTGTCTTGTGTAGAAGTCAGTATTCTAGAATTCTTGACATAAATGAGTAAATTTCATTTTCAAAAGGATTATATAAGTTTAGAAGCTTAGTATATTCTTTCTGTAGCTTAGTTCTGTTCGATTTTTTGCCACTTTTCATCCACTTAAAGGTCAGAAAATATATCGTAGTACCTATCTGAGTATGATCCCCCTTAATACAAGAGGAACCTGCTTCTGACTGGGGCCTAAAGATGCTTCCCTAGTCCAATACTAGAATGGGTGGGTACAATAGGATGTAAAAATTGCAGTTACTCATATGTAAGAGCATTCTGTAAAATAAAGAAATCATAAATATCTCATGGTATTTGGGGACATCTTATCCTATGAAATTAGAAGTCTTGAATCTACATGCACTATATGTTTTGGGAGAAGACAGAGGCACAATATTCTTTCTGTTAGGATTATGGTTTAGTCTTTTAGACAACTTTTAAGATTGTTCTTTTTTTTTTTTTTTTTGACATAGACTTCTTTCTCCTGAATTTCCATATGTATCTCCACATATAGACATTTACAGGATTTTAGATAAAAGCAAATGAGAGTTTTATTGACTTCCTTCACATTGTGCAAAGCTCTCCACTACCTGAAGCTTTTGTTAGAGCAGTTTGACTAAAATATTGATAGATGGAAATAATACAGAATGGATAGAATTGTGCTAATTAAAGTGTCTTCTGATTAATTTCCTGTTCTATTAGTATTATTTAAGGTGTTTACAACTGATAGAACAGTGTACCTTGAAAGCCTTAAGCATATCTATCTAAGCTTGCATTTACACTCTGCTGTTTTTATCTTAGTGATCCCTTTACAAGTTTTTGAGGCTACAGCAGAGATAATTTGCCTACTTTGTTTTGAGTCATAACCTGGACAAGTAATGTAATTAAATGAAGGGAAGAATAATAATGAATGGTTCTAGAATGCATTCCAGTTTAGGATTTCTGAACATAGTCATATTTCACAGGGACATTGTAATCAGTAATCAGTATCAGTTATAAAAAGCTACTATAGCTAAAGCTACTCTAGAGCTACTTGTTACTGATCTCTTTGAGCTTGGTGAAAGAGAGAGAACCCTTTACTGAATCACACACTGTCATTTCCTGTAGCTTGCTCATACTAAATTCTTTCAATCATGTACACATTTTACACCTCAGAACTGTGTCTAAAGCATCAGATGTATCCAGATCATTAACAAGCTGCTACAATTCATGTATTCCCTGCAGCACATGGTACAAAGTTCTTGCTTTACACGTAACATAAAAGAGCTTGAACCTTCAAACTCATAATTCTTCTCCTTTTATAATCACCATGATCTGCACATAGAAAGCATGTAGTGCCCACAGTACCTCTCTCTTCTTGGTTGAGACAATGAGCTCAAGGAAGGACTGATCTTCAGCCCAGGAGTCAATCTCTGTGAGATCGTAGAGCACAGTGGTTAAGGGACCAAAGGACCAGAGATTGTGCTTCCGTTTCTGCATAAGGTATTGAAACATCTGAGGAGAAAAGAACAGGGTGGAGGACATTAGAAGCTTTCCAGTATATAGTGTATTTGAAATGAAAACAAAAAAACCCTTAATTAAAACCTTAAAACCCCTTAATTACCATGTATTTTCCTTCAACTTGGTAGTTGTGGTTCTCACATCTCTCAGGAACAATTATGGCCCGTTAAGAAGTGGAAGAACTTTTTCTGACTCCCATTTGTTTATTAGCGCATGCTTGAGGTAAAGGATAAGTAATTTTTATTCTAAATTCTAACCAAATAGCTAAATCTATTTGACACCGTTATGCATCTTGACAACAGACTTCATACGGAATTATATGTTGATTATTAAAAAAAATAATTTTTTTTTACTCTTCTGCAAGTTATCAGGAAAGAGGTGTAGCAAGGGAAATGATCCTGTCCTTTGGGAGCCTACAGAAGAAATACTAGCCATCTTTGGCTTTTTTTAAGGGGAAGGGTGAGAGTTTACATTAAATATTGAGTTCTTGACTATGAACAGATGTCTGTGGATACCTGAAGAAGTTTCCTGTGTGTCATATTTAGGGTAATGAAATCTAGACAACAAAGACAATAATTTCAGTAAGCCTTCAGTTAGAGTAAAAAATTACTTGGCATGGATCTTTCTGTTAATATCTGTTTACCTCAAATGCTTCAGAAATAGGGTCAAAAGACCTATTCTTTAAGCATTCTTTTATTTCATTAGGATAAATAAATGTCTTATAAAGGTTTTCTGGTCCTATGAGACTTGTGGCAAACAAAAAAAAAAAAAGAGGATTTGTTATGTATTTTCTATCTACTAAGAACATGAACAAACTCGCTTGGTCTGGATGATGTTGTTTTAAGTTCTCTGTTTCTGAATAACCTTTTTTATATGGAGGTAACTGTGTCACTTAAACTCACCACAGTGTTGCCCTCAACTCCAGCCAGTTTGAATGGAGTAAGGCCCTCGTTATTAGCAATCAGCTCAAGTGATCCTGGTCCCTCTTTGTTCCTGTCGTAGGAAAGTATCAGGCTGTACATGTGGCAGGCAAATGTCTTATTAGGTTGGAGAACGAGGATGTGAAGAACAGTGTTACCTATGAAGGAAGCAAACCTGATAAAGTATATGGAACAGTCCAGCCCTGTGCAAAGACTGGCAATTGACTGATGCTGTTAAGAGTGGCTTTCATTTTCCTCACATCCCTCATCCCACAGTTGTTTGTAATGAGAGAAAATCTGCATGTGCAGATGTCAGAGTCTGATTTAAAGTGTCCAGATCCACTGAATGCAATTCTCTAGGCACCACAGCACATACCCAGATAATCTTGAGCTCTAATGTCAGCTCCATTTTCAATGAGCAACTGTACAATTTCCTCGTTTCCCACACAGGCAGCAAATGATAAAACATGCTGTCCTGCAAAGAAAGGAAAGGGGAGAAACAACATTAAGGCCCCAGGAGGCAGAAGAGGTTGAAGCATGCTGAGGGAAAGCTATCCATGCTATGATGCCAGAAGTTGTGAAAGGAAGATTTACTTCAAGTAACCTGTAAATTTCCTGTCCCACTCCTCATCCTACTCAGAAAGGAAAAGAAGACTTACCCCACACAACACCAAAAGGAAGAAGAATTATTTTCAGATTGTCTTCATAAGAAGGTTGACAAGTAAGTTGCAGTATATGCTGCTAGCAAGAAATCAAATTATTACTCTTATGCTATATATATTTTTGTATACATGCAAACATATAAAATGTGTATGATTTATATATTTATATTTATGTAGCATTTATATACTCAGATGGATTCTTACTGTCTGCTAAAAGGTGTGTGATTGATTACACCTGGAGACAGGAGCCTCTGCTTATCCAGTTTAGATGGGGACTAAAGCAAGACTCCCTTATATTCCCTCATCAGCCTGCTGGTTCCCTCCCACAGCAGCAAGGGGAGAACATAAGTCTGTACCAAAATAGAGAAGATTCTGGGAGCTGTGCCTGAAGAAGTGCCCAGTGGCCTGTGCTGTGCAGGCATTGGCCCCTCTCTTGAGTAAAGCCTTCACCAAAGTGATGTTCTGGTTCATTGCTGCAATGTGGAGAGCTGTCTGCCCTGTAAGACACAGAAGTAAAACCTTGCCTTGAAGAAAGCAACTTCAGGCTGATCAGTAGCCTACAGTTCACATTTCATTCATGGTAAATCCAAGTTTTTTGTAACTGCATCCGTAACAGCTGTATGATTTAGCTTTGAAGTTAGCCCTGTTTTGTGCAGAAGGTTGGACTACAGATATTCCAGAGATCCCATTCTATTTAAACCTTTTATGAATTCATGAAAACTGACTTTACAATCTGCCAAAAAAACCCAACAGGATGCACTTTCTAGATTTTTTTCTTGGGGGAACAAGACTTGCCACACTTCCAGGAAGCACACTGAAAGCTCATGTCTCTCAGAAAGGACTATGCTTTCCTTCATGGGACATGAAGGCCAGTGCAGGACAAAGCTCCAAAAGAACACTTGCTCTAATCCATCAGAGCAGGCATTAGAATTTCTAAAACCCCATCATTATTATTTTAGTGGTTTCAGGATTCTGTCTGGCATTTCTGTGTAGTCAATCAGAACCATTCTTTAAGAAGCTGGCTCAGAGTCTAGACTCAAAAATCAGTGGCCACATTTGCTTTCAATTCCTTTTCTTTGTCAGCCAAAGAACGATATTTTTCTCCTTACAGAGGAGATCAGGTAGTTGCCTTTGTTACACATGATTATGTCAGAAAGCAAACTGTGCATACCCTTGCAATCCCACTATAGCCAGCAGGCCCACCTTTGGTTAAGGGTTTGTCAGCTACATGTTTGCACATGTATGTACTTGGGTTTTATATAATTCCACCTTCCACAAATGGTCGGGAGCCATTTGTATGTCAGTTTTGCTATGCAACTGTTTAGCAATATGTTGAACCAGGAACTGTATAAGCCACTTTTCTAAAGGTACAGGTAGTACTTCCTCCCTTCCCCTGCAGAGAATCCAGCCCATCCCCATTCCCTGAGATGTTACCCTCATAGAGCTCTGATGTCATTCTCTCATTGACAAGCTCAGGAACTGCTTCCATCAGAGTAACTGCAGCCTCCACATTATCATACAAGGCAGCTACATGAAGGGCGGTTTCCCCCACTGCACCTAAAAGCAGTAGGAGAAGAATGTGAGTCATCTAGACATTCAACTACATGGGACAAAAGCAGAAATGGATTTATTGGGGTGGAGAATCATGGGAGTTCTAGGTCTTCCTTGGGTCCTGCCAGGTGCCACCTCATCATATGACACCGTAGCAACCACATAACTGCATAGTCTCTGTCCTTCACCCCATCAAAACTTTGAAAGCTGAATAGAGACTTCAGGTGTCTGTAAGTGACAGCAGACTTAGCTATGAAGTGAATGAGGACACAGCCCTGGCTACCTTCCACAGTAAGCCACCTCCCTCAGCCACACTAGAAAAAAAGGCCTATTCAAGCTGTAAATCTCTGATCTTCACTATTCCTGATGACCTCTCCAAGTTAGAAAACTCACTTTGTTGCAAAGCTGCTGACATACAGTTAAGTAGTTTGAATCTGCTAATGCAAATGCTTTAGCAAACTAACAAATATACTACTCTACTTTTTGTAGAAGGTTCTTGCCTTCCACAGAAAGCCTTTTGTCACAAATAATTGAGTTACCTCTCTGATAGATATCACATGTTCTGTCAGTGAGAAGTTTCCTAATGGCTGGGAGGTTGTTCTCTTTGGCAGCCTGGAGGAGTGGGGATTCCCAGATCCTGTAATCAAGAAAAAGTTATTGGTAAGAAACAAAGTCAAATACACGGTGCCTCTCTCCAGAGCAAGCATGGCCTTTACTTGAGACAATATGTATCTTCAACATTTTCACTGAAATATCAGTAATGCACACCTACCATTTGAAGTATTTCTTGAATGCAAAAAAAAAGGACTGTCAAAAGCAGACAAATGCACGGCTGACAACCCAGGTAGTTCATAATCTCTTGATTTACTGACGCTTAACCATAAGGTGGCAGCAGAGGGAAAGAAAGGAGAAACGAATAACCAAAATCTTTCTTGTTTATATAACCCACATTTTGATGCACAGAAGATAGGGAATGATGGGTGATTTGATACCCCTCCTGATAGTAGACTAGTTGTCTCAGAAGCCAGAAAAAGCTAGTAGTTTTTCACACAGCACAATAAATTTAAAAAGGGTCAGCATCTGAATTATTCCCGTAGTGAATGGAAAAGAAAAAGTACAAACAGGAATTCCCCCTGTGTCACAGCAACGCTTCGTATGGTATAATTAAAAGAATGAGCTCTGAAGTGTAGATCCTCATCATACAAATTTATAAGGAAAAATCTGAAAGCTTAGCTATACTATTTTTTTTTATCTGATGCTGAGAAAGTTGAAATCATTGACAACTGAAATGTATGCGTGTCCTAAGAAAGTATGCCATTGAACAAGTTCCAGACTGAATGGTTCACTTATAGGTGAAGAATGCTCTTGGGTCTTCCATGAGGCTCTGGGTTATTTGAATAGATCCTGTGGGGCTGATGAAGAATTTACAAGTACAGTCACTAAACTTCACTACAGCAAGGTCCTTTGATGCAAACAGTAGTTTAAGGTAGGTGATTCTCCCCCTCCACTCTGCTCTGGTAAGGCCGTACCTAGAGTCCTGTATCCAGTTCTAGGCTCCTCAGTACCAAAGTCATGTGGACATACTGGAGAGAGTTCAGCAAAGGGCTACAAAGATGATTATGGGACTGGAGCATCTTTCATATGAGGAAAGGATGAGAAAGCTGGGACTGTTTAGCCTGTAGAGGAGAAGGCTCAGGCAGGGTTCTTATCAATATGTGTAAGTACCTGAAGGAAGGGTGCAAAGAGTTACCTGCAATGCCTGCTTGCTCAGCATCCAAATAAGCTTTGCCAACATTTAAAATCATGAGTTGGACACTCAACAATCACCAAAAAAAAAAAAAAAAAAAAAAAAAAAAAAACCCAAAATCTACTAATTTGGGGTAAATTTTTTGTTATCATCAAGTATTTTCAGATTTATCTTTAAATTTGTAAAAAGTGTTTTGGGTGGAGTTTTTTTATTTTTGTTTCTACACAAATAAATCTGAGTAGCCCAAGTTCAGGAGCTAAACATTTAAGGGGAAGAAAGATCCTCAAACCCAAAGAAACAGACTATGTCTCTTGAGTTTTCAGTATGAAATAGAAAGAGATTCTTTTCTCCAAATAGGATAAATTCAGTTTTAGATCTCTGTTCAGATGATATGTGAGCCAGCACAGGCAGGACACAGGAACAACCACAAAACCACAGATGAAATGCAAAGAGTAAATTTAGTCTTGTTACCTTGCCAACTGTGGGATTCCTGAAGCAGCACCCAGGCAGAGGCACACAAGCGGGGACACAGGTACCACAGAGCTTGGTCCATGTTAAAGGGTCACTGAACCTGCTGCTCTCACCTGTATGTCAAGGGACTCACGCAGGCGTCGTTTACCACTTTGCTTTGACCTTTCCCAAAGCAGAGAAGGAATCTCAAGCATGTTTGATGGGGTCCCTCTAAGTCTGCCACGGGCCTATGTTATCTAAACACAGATGTTCTGCTTGTCAAACACACAAGACTAAACAATGATTAGTATGATATATGTGTTTTTCCACACCTCAGCTGCAAGTCTCTTGAGTGCGTTTACAATCCTTCTCATTTTTTTTTTCTTTTTATCTCACCTCTGCTTTCTTGTAGTACAGATATTAATTTGTTCTTATCTAGCATGGCTCAGGTCAAACTGTAAAGTGTGATGTGGAATAAGTCTAAGGAATACAGTAGAACAATGACAAGTTCAAACTGATATGAATAAGTAGAACATCAGCCCTCATTTTCCTACCAGCCCCAGTCTGTCTTTTACTGCAATCTAACAACCACCAACAGACTGTATGTTGGTCTCACACACACACAGAAAGAAAAAAAAAAAAAAAGCACGTGGGACAAATACATTAGTCAACCACATACCTGGAGATATATTCAATGCTTTCTCCTTGTGGTGTCCCAGATTTCTTCCTTGTATTCTGGTATTAGTTACAAGATTTTGGGTTTACAGTTTATAGGGCAAATAAAAATAAAGCAATAGGCATTTTGCATTAAGTTCTAACACTGATGTTATATATGAATATAACAATGTCCTATTATGAACAACAGAATCTTGAAGAAACAAAAATATCTGATATGCCATTATCTCTGCATGTAATCCACCTGCAACATATGAGTTCACCGCACCTTTATAGCAGAAAAATACTGACACATTTGAGATAATTTGGGGGGATAAAGCAAAACAAAGAGAAGTACCAGAATTATGCAGATAAATAGGAATCATTTGAACAAGTGTAAATTAATGGGCGTAGACTACAAGTAAAAAAAGCATAACTGAACATTACATTTATCATTCCATAAAAGGAGTATTTCCTGTCAGCAGCAGCACCCCTTTATCTAAGTCACTAGAAACTAGACTAGAAAAACGCTAAACAATAGAGGAGAAATAAATTCAGAATACAAAGAACCACCCTGAAGAAACCAGGGAGCTCTTCTGAGATACTTTTATGTGTCTTTCAAACTCTTAGCATTACTGCTTTGAGATGTATTCATTCTTTAGCTTACACATGCATCAGTTGCATTAGTTGCTAATTACAAAAGAATTTGATAAGAACATTGCATCTAGGATCAGACCAATAGGAACAAAACAGAGAGGCACTCTCAGCAAAAGTTGTAAGATTCAATACCAGTGAAATAAGCTTGCCACCTCTGCCATTATTTTGGCTGAGAAAGACTCTGTGTTCCTGGAGAATGTAAGTTTCAGAAGCAGGAAGTGGGAAGGAAGTGGGGTTTCAATAGTATAAACAATGCTACAATTAATATGTTGATGCTTTACTGGGTAGGCCCTTATCCCTCAAATGACCTGAGAGAGGAGGAAGGATTGAATGAGAGACAATGTGGGAGGACACAAACACAATGCCTTTCTCACAAAATTCTCCAAAGCCCTTGTAAACAGCTAGTTAAATGACAAGCCTGCTAAGAGGGAGACACCTAATAACTACTATATTCAGCTTTCAGAAATTTAAGGCAAAATTGTCAAACATTTCTACTGATCGTAGGAATCTCCAACTGGACTTAAGGAACCAGAGATCCCAAGCCAAACAGCAAACTGGTGAAGAACCGGGAATTGTTGGTAAATGTCGTGGCGCACTGCCTCAGATGCCTCAAAGGTCCATGACTTCCATGTTTATACCATGTGCTTTTACTCTCATTTGGTTTTCTGTCCCATAATTGGGGAAACATTTTGCTCTCATTTAAAATATACCATTATAATTAGCAATTCATTTTTTAATACATTACAGCATTGTGCTGAGCATATAAATGTCAATTACTAGGTGAGACAAATTCACTAACCTGAAAAATAAAACAGTCACCTGAATCTTGAACATTCAAAACATTTTAATTTCATTATCTTCTGCATATTTAACCATTTTTTTTCCTGGCCCATTGAACACAGCATGAATTTTATATTTTGCAACTCTAGTTGCTGTGTGTCAAAGCAGCAGCATGTAAAGTCCCTTAACAGAGATGCCTACAGTAGGTGCTTAGTTTCCATAAAGTACCATTATGTCACTGGAAGGAGAAGGTGGCTTTCAGAGAATGATTCAGCAGAGACCTATTCAGAAACTCAGAAGATAATTCAGTACTTCAGAGTTAAGCTCCTGTTCTAAATCATTCTCTTCATCAGCTATTGCATCAAGGGACACTGAGCTCCTAATTTAACCAGTTAAGTTAGGTCTGTAACAACTGATGTTGCCTTATAGGATCAGTTCAGGATAAGCACAGCTACATAGCTAACCAGTTGTTCTGCTAGGCAATGAAAACCACAATGGTATCCACCTGGAAGTGTTCCTGGGTTCCTTCTACTGAGCTAAGGAAAGTAGCTGTGTTGAGGCACTTAGTAAACCTTGATCATGCATTACTATCAGTCAGTTTTCTTAACAGATGATTCAATGATATGCTCAGGAAGCTGTGAGCTGTTCTTCAATATAGGTGAGGACAAAATCAGGAACACCCAAAAATCCATTGTGAAACAAAGAGAAGATAGAATGTAGGTCAGATTCTGACTGAAGGAGTCATGTAAGACAGTTTTAAACAAGGCTGAGGATTTCACAAGTTATTTCTGCTGGTAATATGTACCCTTTTGGATTTACAGCTTCTTAAGCACTTATTTTGGAGTGCAACCTGCTCATTGCACTTATGAAGAGATAAAGAAGGCAAAGACAAGTCCATAACTCTTAACTCTGTTATAAAAAAAAGAATTTGGATTTATAGGGTTATTATTTTAAAACAAGGAAATACATTAAGCATGTGAACTATATGGACAGCAACCAATCTGAAGCTGCTTTTTCAAATCTGAGCTCATCAGAGGTGCAGCAAAGCATCTCTTTCTCCTCTTTCCTTCCCTTCTCAGATTCTACTACTTGAGTCATTCACTGTGTGTAATTTTCCTATTGTTTGCTCTAGTTTAAGGTTGGCATCTGCTAGCTTCATTCTTTATCCTCATAGCTATATCATTTACTGAGCATGTAAAGCAATTGTTTCCGAGCTATAAATTAATTAGCAGGATATTATTTCAGCTTTCTTTTCTTTCCTTGTTGTGCTGTTCAGAATAGCCATGCTCAGTGCTCCATCAGGTAATTGCCAAAGGAGATTCATCTTCTCCCTTCATTCTGCTAGGATG